AGAAATATTTTTAAAAGTTATTCTCTTCTTTTTTCAGGTTCCTGGCGAACATTTTTCAAAGGACTTTTATCGACAGGATTTCAAGAATGGTTTATTAAGTTCTTACACGCGTTTTAAACCTGTCACAGGTATATACGCAAATGTTTTATTTCGCATTCAATTAAATTCACTATTTCTTTGAGTAAAAAAGAATTTGCTTCCAAAATTGTAAATTCTATTTTAGTGCCATTTCCATTGAGACTGGAAACTTTTTCATATTCACTTCAATTTTTCTTTTTGTTCCTTTTTTCCCTTTCAAATTGCAGCTTGTTTAATCCTTTTACAGACTGTATGTTCATCGCAGCTGATCCAGGATCTTTCATATACAGTTCGAAAACTGACAGCGATGAGGTATGCGGAATTTACTTCCTAGCTGGGCCGGATCAAAAGATAGAAATTAACTTTCTCACGTTCGACGTGCCCTGCGAACACCGTGGATTGATTTCGGTGAGGAAATACAGCGTGCAAAGTCAACTTAAATGATCCTATATCCTGATTCGAACTGATTATTTGTGACTCAAGGAAACAAAAGCCATTAAGGATCAAACATAATTAAATAAAAGGAATTTAGGGGATCTAAATTTAGGGGAGAGAGGACAGAACCGTTTTTCTTTTAACTCGTTTTAATTTTATTTAATCTTACAAGCACAGCTTAAATTTTCTACTGTACCTTTTTTTTCCTTTTTTTTTTTTTTTTTATCGAGTGTTTTTGTGCAATGGGAACCATTGTAGTACAATTTTTCCGCGATAATCCTCGCCTAGTTTTCGAATACAGGATACAGAATACGTGTACACGTTTTATTCCGGCAGATACGTTTTTCCAATGCATCGTTGCATGTGCCGTGACAACGGCCCATTGAGAAAGATATTTTTATATCGTGCAGGTCGTCGATGGCTGGGAATTAAACGGTGAAGTGTTTCCCAGTGAAATGGACCATCGATTGCCGCTGAAACAGAGGATCAGCGAATTCTGCGGTAAAAATATCGGCGTGAAGAGGAGCTTCACGAGTTCACAGAACGCCGCGGTTATCCGATATAGAATACCCAAGCCTGGGAAGGGATTTACGCTGTTCGCTAGATTTTTAAAAAATCCCAGACGTGAGTTAGACCGATATCCAATATTGAAGTCACAAATTTTAAGCTGTTTTCCTTTTTTTTTTTTTTTTTTTT